TCCAAGACCAGTAATGTGATTCGATGCCAAGTTAAGTTCCCTCAGAGCAGGGAGTTCCAATTCCTCCGTCAGATACGCCTCACCAACCATCTGGTTGTGAGACACAGACAGGGCAGTCAATGTTTCGGCAAAAAAGCTAAGCGAGTTGGGTAGGGTAGCAAAAAGGTTGTTTTGGAGGAAGATTTGTCGGACACGGTGCTCGGCAGCGACTTTAGAGCAAACGACGGGATGGAGTGATGAAGACTGGGTTTGGGATCGATCTAGGATACCGCCAGGCTTGACGGGCCAAGTCTGGTTCGACAACGTGTGCGATCGAGAGCGGTGGCTTGATACAGTGTGAGATCGGGAACGATTAGGGCTTTGGGGAGGTGTAGCGAAATCATCATCTGACCTGTCATTTTCATCAAACATTGCGTCAGGGTTCGATTGCGTATTGTTAGGACCCTTTACATCAGCCAGGACATCTAGGATGCCGACTTGAGAAGCTGGCTCTTGGTAGGGAGGTGGTGGTTCAAGGCGGCCAGCAAGAACTTCCTTTAGATCTTCGGTGGTGATGGAGAGGAACTTCTTGTCACGAAGAGGGTTGCCGCTGAGTCGAATCATAGACAAGTTGTCCATGCGAGACACCTCGGGAGGGATCACTCTGATGTCGTTGCTAGAGAAATCAGCATGACGAAGTTTCTCGAGACCCATGAAACTGTTAGGAATTCCGGAGATGTTGTTTTCTTCGACCGAGAGTGTCAGAAGACTTGTCCAGGTCGTCATGTCTGGAAGTCCTTGAAGTCGGTTCATAGAGAGAGAAAGAGAATGCAGAACTGGCAGGTCGATCGAGGCACCCAAGGGCACCAGTCTTTGCAGCTGGTTTGCAGAGGCGTCCAATGTGTGCAGCTGAGGCAGGCAGCCGATGGGCTCCTCGATCAGAGTGCCCTTAAGCTTGTTCTTCCTGATGTTCAGCTCGGTAATGGGAAGTGTGGCAATGCTATCGAAAGGTAGAGACTCGAAGCTGTTTTCGCTCAAGTTAAGAATACGAAGACGCGACATGTTTTCGACCTTGGGGGGTAGTGCAGAGATGTTGTTACCATGCACGTCAAGGATTTCTAACTCATTCAGACTTGATAGCACGGGGTTGAGGGGGCCATAGAAGAGATTGTTCGCAAGCTTCAAGTCGCGTAGAGAGGTGACTTGTGAGAGGGTGTCCAGGCTGTTATTCGTGAGGCGATTGTTTGACTAAAAATGTTAGCAAAGAGGATAATTAGAAATGCGTATAATGCATACCAAGTTCAAAGAGGTCAGGCAAGTCAGCCGCCGAAATCCCAAGGGGACATTGACGAGGAGATTGCCATGCATATCCAAGGTCTCAAGACCGGCAAAGATGTTTCCTTGACTAGCCTGTGCCTCGTCGAACGAAGAGGGATTGCTGTCAGGGAAGATGAAGTCATCCAATTCTTCGAACTCGTTATCCGCAGCAACAAAGCGCGTCAAGTCAACACTCTCTGCCCAGCTTCCGTCAAAGGTACCAATGCTCTCCAGATCGTACATCTTGAGAACCTCCACAGGAATTTCCTTCAAGTGCAAAGCCGCAATGTTGAGTCTTCCAGTTGTCCTTGCAGAATTGACGCGATTCTGGAGAACCTTCTTCTTGGGATCTTCGCCCTTACGGGTATTGAAAGGATCATCATGGTTCACACCAAAGTCGAAGCCACTATCCGAAGGGACAATTGGTGCTTCCTCTTCTAGGTGTGTTTCGATCTCAGCTGCTTGCTTCATCTGTGCCCGTTTCGCAGCCTTGGCCTTGGCAATCTGCTCGCGCAGAGCGGCCGAGGACTTGCGGGCGGATGGTGGTGTTCCAGGCTCGGCCGAATCGGCTGTCAGCGACGTATTGTGAGAACTGCCAGCTGAAGGGATTGTGCCATCCCAGGATGCAGTGGAGGCAGAGTTGACAGACACGCGACGGTTTGAAGTTCCATTCAGAGAAGCTTTACCAAGGGCAGGAAGTGAAGGCTTCTTGAACAAACCCTGTACCGGAGCCCTTGACTTGGCAGGTCGCAGAGCCATAGACTGCGAGCCCTTGGGAGACATCATGGTAGGCTTACCAGGGCTGGGGCTTCTCGCGTCAGAGAATGGAGCTGGCTTAGAGGCTCCTGCTCGAGCATTGGGAGTCTTGCTTCCGGCCACTGATGACCGCTTCTGAGGAGTGCCATCGATGGGAGTCAGGGGCTTTCTGAAGGCACTTGCGGAACCTCGAAAGCTGCTGTAACCGAGATCGGACTGTTCTGAACTAGAGCCAGGCCGACTCTCTGTCCTGTAAATCCTAACAGAAGCATCTGAAGCATAGCTAGAACCTGGTCTAGAACCACCGCTATCTGCCCTTGAACGCGGACGTGAACTTGATCGTCCTTGGTCGAAGAAGTTTGACGACTTAATCATGGCAGGAGAAGAGGGAATGGAAGCAAGAGTCTCGATGGTCCTCTCGCTCAGAGAGGGTCTTGGCTTACGAGAGCGAGCCCTCAATGTATCGGGTTTATCATCCTCGTCGGTCGAAGCGGTTCGTGGTCTTGATTGGTTTGGGTCGAAGATGTTGTTGGCAGGATCATACAACGGTGAAGTTGCGAAAGTCTCTGATGGTCTCCTTGTAAGGGTCAATTGACGAGGGAAGATGTTTCCATCGAATTGAACACCCATGGCTTCTCCTGGAGGATCATATGGGGGTGTTGTAGATTGTTCCTCAATAATATCATCTTGTCGCTCCATCGATCGATGCGGCGTCGAAGGAATCCGTTGGGCCATAGGCTTCGCTGGTGATAGATGTGTAGGTTTTGTGATGAGCGATGTACGTCTTGTTCCAGTGTTGAGATGTTCTCTGGAAACAGCAGGTCGCAGTCTTTGTGCTCGCTGTTGGAGATCTGGTTGACCAGTTCGTAATTGATCTCTCGACATCGAAGGACGAAGGCGAGGATTCCGTAGCTCGCCGCCGCCTAGACTCTCCCTTGATGGCGAGGGTCGAACAACTGATGTAGGCCTTGGTAGAGCCGATGCTGGCTTTGGGATTCCTGAAGTTGGTCTTGGTACAGGTAGCTTTGAGAGTCGCGGAATAGCGCTCATGCGCTTCTGGGAGGAATCCTCCATGATGAAAGTATTTGCAAGAGTGTCGTGGGGTAAGAGTATCGTATTCAGCAGAAGTCGTTGTCTTTAAGAGGAATGTGGTTGACCAGATTGCCCGAGACAAACGGACAGCTCTTGTTTGTAAGGGGTCCAGAAGGAGTTTTGTTTATCGGGGGGCCTAGCGTTGGCGGGTGGACGACGGGACGGAAGGGCTTGCGGGAACTAACGATGAGGCGGACGATGAAGGCATCAACCTAGCACAGCAAAGCAAGAGAGGAAATATTGAAGATGAAAGTTTGAGACACAAGCAAGAAAAAAAGAGTTGAAAGAAGGTAACAGTGACAGTTCGCTTAAGCTCGTTGCTAATGTAAAGAAGAAATGATATCTCCAGGGGTTGAAGCGAGTGCCGTGCCTTGGGTTTGGAGAAGAAGATCCCGTCCAGTCAATGATACATACCCAGACAGTTCTTCAGGGCCAGGGTCGGGGTTGGGTTCCAGTGGGGAACAGGCTGCGAACCCACTAGATTGCGCTAACCTGTTGATAATGCTTAGTGGCCCTCTGCAGGCCCGGTGTTCCTAGGCCCGGTCCGCCTCAGACACACACGCGTCTAAACTGTATTCTGCGATGATACAGGATAAAAAGTATGTCCTGATCAAGGAAAGCTGCGTGCAACAGTCTGATCGTTGTTGTTTTGGTCTGTTTCCGGAACAATCAGCCATGTGTTCCTAACCCCTCCCCTACCAACGCGTGGCTAAAGCTTCCGGCGTCCCGTCTTTCATCCCCAGTCCAAGCAAGGCACGGGCTACCTGGCCTGGCTAATCCCTGTAGGGATGCCCCTGAAGTTTCTTTGTCCACTGTGTGCGTGTGCGTGTGCCCAAAGCCTCATTTTTTACTTTTTGTAAACAAAGGCTTGGGGTTATTGATGCTCTTTGTTTACAATCGCGTCGCAGAACCAATGACGACACTACATTCTTTGCCATCTACGGAATATGGTACGTTGTGGATTGATGTTGTGTTCAATATTAACATTAGGTACGGTCATTCAGGTGGGTTACGAAAGAATCCACATAGCAACCAGGTACCTGGCTCTATCTGCAGGTACAGAGTAGCATCTGCATCGATCCATTGCTAGGAGTCCCATCATCATCGACTAGGAATTGAGGAGATGGACTTTAATTGAACTAAATGATGATACATCATTAAACTCAAATTCCTCTCTCTCAAAAACCGTGCAATTGGGTTACTGCAGAGTTTTATGTCTTGTGCTTTTTGTGATAAAGCCTCCGATCACTATCAAGTGAAACGTCGATCACGGATTATCACGTCTTGTGCCCCTCTTCCCTGTCGGCAGAACGTACAAAATATTCCGCCACGGATTTCATTTTTATCCTTAGCTCAAGTTTCAAGTGCACCTCTTTATGTATCAAATGAACTAGTATCATCCGTGGTCATAGTCTCGAAGCTTTGGTGTCATGGCCTTAGGAAGCAAGAAAACTCCTGACTCTAAATCAAGGTATAAAATGATTAGGCAGCCTAAAAGCATCCAGCCTGTATTGTACCTTATTATCCTACGTCCTTTTGCCATTTCAGATAGTGGCCTTACTTTTTGGCCCCCTTTTTGGAAGAGTCACGATTCTTAAATTCGCCATGAAGTCTAAATCAGTGATGCCCTCATACCAGTGGCACAACACAAAGCACGCGAGCATACGTACGGAAATATGATGACGATAAGAAATGCTATGTTCACAGTGTATTTGGCCATGGCCCGACTCCCAAGCGCCACCAAAGCCATTCAAGAATCTCACTCGCATCGACTAAGATAGAAAAAGTGAATCCCCTCCCACTTTCATGCTGAGGAACTCAGCAAACCTTTCCATATCACAAGCTAACATCCCATCATGCCTTTGAAGCCCTTTCACCGTATGATGGATCTACCACTAGAGATTCGCCATGAAATTTATTTTTGGGCCACACCAGACCGTGTTGTTCACGTTCGATACCTATACTCAGGCGACATAAGAAAAGGGCGTGTCTTTTGCAGCACCCCCATTCCCTCTCTACTACACACGTGCTCCGAGTCCCGGGTTTACTTATCAAGAACGGGTTACAAGCTGGCTTTCCAAGCCCAATCAACTGGCAGTCAATTCTGGTTCAACTTCAAAAGAGACACCCTATTTATCGACAGAGAGGCACTTATCTTGATGCACCAAGGCATCAATCCGTTCCCGTTCGAAGATACCCAAAGAATTCGAAAAATAGCCTACGAGAGGTGGCTCCTCAACGTCTACGATCTAGTTGTCAGGTTGGCTCTCCAGAGTTTCGGGGAGCTTCAAGAAATCTTTCTCATTGAGTGGCACAGGGAGGGGATAGATTCGTACGCGCCTTGCTATTTCCCTGATCCTATTCCGCAGAGACACAGCTACGACACCAGGGACCTCTACAAGTTTGCGGAGATCCAGAAAGTTGATGCATATCTCGGTCGTCTTGTTCTCCAAACTGACCATCGGAACCCGCACGCATTGTCGCTCGGCTATTGGTGTGCTCTCTGGAGCCTTGACCCTCCAGAGTCCATACCAAGAGACACAGATCTCGCCGAGTATCTCAGTGAGCCTTATGAGAAATGGAGATCCCTTGATCAGGGACGGGAATACCTGGAGTTAGAGTTGGGAAAGTTCTGGGCTGAGTTGGGGCGGCCAAGCGGGAAGCTGCCTAAGTTCAAACCTGTACATCTCCTCACCGACGCTGAACACCAATTCGTCCGACGAGAACGAAGTATCGGTTATGAAATGCTTCAAACAACCTTCCGTATAAACAAGCTTTCCGGATCGAACAAGAACAATCAGGTCGCCCTTACTTAGAAATTCTTGCAAACTTCAACATGTCAGTACAGGTAAAAAAGGCACATCATTGCACCATGATATAAATATTTACTAGAACATTCAATGCTGATACTTTAATCTTGTTAGGAGAGCAAAGAACCGGGCATTCCACAGCTCACCAATAACCTAGAACATGTTCAAGAGATGGATAAGATCTATGTCAAAAACCCGCAATTTGTGGAATTCCTGTGACGATATGAAACTCAAAATCTGCGTATCCCCAATGAAAGTTTGACTGACGCCCTAATTTCTACTGATATATGTCATCATTTTGCTGTATTGAGAATCAAGATCTCGTAGTTAGCTCAATTTGAGTTTGGTTGATGGTCAAATCGAGCACTTGCAATCTAAGTTGCAGGTATATTCTGCGTAAATCCCCTGATATAACCATGCTCTGAGGAATAGCTCTTCTTGTAAAAGTTTGTGTGTTGTGGCTGAAGTCTCTTTCAACCTCTCAGCCTTATGACGACAGTAAAACTGCTTAATCTGGAATCACTCAAGGTAAAAGATCCAATAAGAGGGATATTATAAAAAAAGCCTGGAATTTTCAACTTTACAAAACAAGTTCTAGGCTTACTCACTGGTTAATCTACAACTCTATTCTTACACCTACTTAGTACTTATACATTACACTCCCCAGAAATGATGCCCTATTCGGTTATTTCCTTCCCCCATTTCATCTATTTCTTAAACACACAAGCAATGGCCAACTTTCAAAGCCTGCCCCCGGAGATCCGGCAGGAAATCTACCTCCTCGCCACACCAGCTCGTGTGGTCCATCTCAAAACTGTGGTATCCGGTTGCAAGCATTCTCATTGTCGTTTGCGGCTCTGGAATTATGGAGGAAGCCTCCACGACTGGCTACGACACAGATGCCCCCTGAAACAATATTTCTACAGCAATGCTCCAATCCCAGTCCTTCTTCATACATGCATGGACTCACGAGCCTTTCTTGTGAACAAGGGATACCAGCTCGCTTTCAAGACCAGTACTCAGGAGCCAAGAACGTGGTTCAATTATGATCGAGACGTCTTGTTTAAAGATGCAACATATTGCGGCGTTGTGCAGCTCGATTCTGATGAAGCTGCGAGAGTGCGGCGCCTGGCTCTTAATTATTCCACTGGTTGTCTCTACAAGCCGATAGAATATGATGAGCCACCCCCCCTACATCCTTGTGAAAAGGACTGCTTGTATCCACTTATCGAGGATTTTCCAGCCCTGGAGGAGGTTCTTCTGGTTGACTGGAAGCGACATACCTTCCCCGGGGAACTAACAATGAACACAGGGTATCCTGTCAACCCTCCTTCGATGCGACATCGTTACGATACAACGAATCTCTGGAAATGCGTGAAAGTCGAGGATAGTTCCCTGTTGCGAACAATGCACCACGACCTTAGGAAAGCATACGACGGACCGAGAATTATGTATCCGTTGGGATATGGTCCTGCGCCCAATATTACAGACTGGGGTACTTTCGGCAATCGGAGTGCATATCTGCTGTTGGAACTTGCTATCTGCCGGAAGAGCCAAAAGCACTCTGTTGGCGAGTGGAGGGCGCCAAAAATGATAACTCCGGTGCATTTGATCGACGAAGGACAGGAAGAGATCCTGCAGCAGAAACAAAAGATTGCTCTTGATGAGTTGCGTCAACTGCGGAAAGACTGGGCTCCTGCTCTAAAGGAGAGAAAAGAGCGGATAGATGCCGGGGGTGGTGTGATTAGTCAACGTGAACTGCAGTATCTTTGGGCAAATCCCTGGGAGATGACGTGCTGGATCGAGAAGGATATATTTTCAAGTTCTGGATCCGAAGTCTGAATGAGGACATTAAGGGCATTGTCGGAATTGCCTGACCATGTCGCTGTCCAAGCTTGTTATATTTGCGGGGAGACGAGGTGAATCCGGTGGCTCAAGCGAACAAGAAGCCGTCTAATTTTAAATCTAGCCGCTAAAAGTATTTGTTCTAGGGCATATTGAATTTATATTGTATTTGTTCCATATAAACTTCTCATTTGTTTAGGATACAAGTCTTGACGTTCCCTATATAACTTAGACTAGTTCGATTGTAAGATCCATGCTGACACTAAACTTCTGATATAACAAAACCAGACACTGGAGGACTTGGTGGATAATCTTTCTGGTCAAGAGGCTCCTCACCTCTCTCAACCCTCCAACGATTCGTCGCCTCCAAGGGCCCAGACAAGTCTTTGAACAACCAACCCCATTTCTTAACAAACCCTTCTGACATTTCCCATCCTGATACATCCCACGGCGGTGACCAAGCAATCAAACCACGTCTTTCCATCTCATCATCTGGAAAGCCCTCGTATAAACCACCAATACAATCAGCCCACAAATCATCCTCATCAAAGGTACCATAAGCTCGAATCAGACAGTCTCGTGCCTCTGGGGAGGGAAACATATCAATCCAGTCACAGTGCATGACTGTTTGTTGGAGAACTGTAGGGAGAAGTGCTGAAGGGAGCGAAGCTGGGTTTTTTGGGTATGGGACTACGTGGATAATGTCTTCATCGCCGCAGTCAAGAGGTGTGGTCAGCATGCCAGAGACGAAAGTCCTGTTGACGGCCAAGGCTCGGAGGGCGTTGTATTGGAGAAGTGTGATCAGGTGATCTGAACTTAGAGGGAAGGCGAGATTTGACTGATTCTTCTTGGTTCTGTACGCGAGCAGGGGCTGTCTGGCGTTGTATATACTCTTGGCATGAGATGCTGGGACGACGGACATCGATTCTTGGTTGATATCCCAGCATCCAACAACTGGTTCAGATTTGATTGTCTCGGTCTCAGGCTTTGACGCCTTGGCCTTCTTTTCCTGAGCCTTCCGCTTTCCTGTCCCACAATTAGCTCGAAGGTCAAGTAGCATGATCGGTGACGCACGGTATGCTCTCATGTTCAGCCTCGTCTGCGCCCTTCTTCTTGCTGCAGCATCTGTTGTCCCGGTCCAGTCATCTTCTATGCTTAGTGCCTATACCCGGTGAGTAAGTTGCGCCGAACCATCTTGTGGGCTCATACCTCAGCCAATTGTGGCATAGAAGTGAGCTGGACGCATGGCCCTTGCTGATGAATCGACATGATGAAACTGCGGAGTGTTGATGCCGAAGGGAAATGCAGGCTGCTCACATTGTCGTGTCTGACGGGTAAAGACGTTGGATATTGAGACGCAGACTAGCAAGGGTAGAGAGTCAATGTGATAAGATGATTGGTAGATGCCATGTAGTTTAGGTCGAAATAGTCTAGCGTCATGCAACCTGCTCACTCGTCCGTTTCCGGGTTTGCATTAGTGCCCTGATGGAGTAGCTCATGATTGGCCAGGCACTTCTTGTCTTTATGCAGCCTGCTCACAACACTTGATATGCAAAAGGCACGATGGAATTAGCTGTGGAGTTAAGCGTCGGACTTTCGCTGCGGACTTCATCAGAAAGAACTATAAGAGGACAGCTCTATTATGGATTCCCCAAGTCTCTATGCATATCATTTCAAAACTGCTAAGGCTCATCAACACTGCTCTCTCTGTTTACTTAATACTTAATTCGATTTCGCAAGACAACCATCACAATGACCTTTCACCCCGACAACCTCCCAGATCTCACCGGAAGGGTGTACATTGTCACAGGAGGTAATTCTGGAATGTAAGCCTACCTTGAATCCTTCTACCAACAGCTCTGGATCGCTGACCTCTCTTGCAGGGGACTCTACACCGTTTCCCATTTAGCAAGACATGGCGCCCACGTCTATATGTGTTCAAGATCTCTCGATAAGGGAAAAAAGGCTATTGCCGAGATCCAAAAAGATTATCCTTCAGCCAAGATTGATCTATTGCAAATCGACCTGATGGATCTTGGAAGTGTTGTCGCAGCCGCTAAGCACTTCCTTTCCTTGGAAACATCCCTCCATGGCCTTATCAACAATGCTGGCATCATGGCTTCACCATTTGAGATTACCAAAGATGGACATGAGGGCCAGTGGGAGACCAATTATCTTTCACACTGGGTTTTCACCGAACACCTCATTCCATTGATGCTGAAAACATCAAAGCCATCACCACGTGGAACTGTGCGGATCGTCAACCTCTCTTCATCCGGCCATCTAATGGCCCCGAAGGGAGGTATCAACTTCGAAGATACATCCCTCAAAGAGGCGAGTATATGGGAGCGTTACGGCCAAAGCAAACTCGCCAACATTCTCCACACAAGAGCCCTCCACAACAAGTACGGTCCCGGCTCAGGTAACAAAGAAGGCGAGATCTGGGTAACTTCAGTGCATCCCGGCCTCGTCGAGACAAACCTCTCTTCTAGTATCGATTCAGCCCAGACTTTGAGCTTGCGAATGGTGTCATTGCTGAGATGTATGAAACTGATGTGGACTGCTGATAGGGGGTCTTGGAACAGTCTTTTCTGCGCGGCGAGTCCAGACATGAAACCCGAGCAGAGTGGAGAGTATATGGAGATCTATCATCGGTTGTTTGAGCCTTGGTGGCAGAATGGCGCGGCGAAAGATGAGGAGCTGGTGAAGAAGTTGGATGAATGGACGAGAGAGACTATGAAAAAGGAGGGGTGGGTCCAGTAGTGGTTCTTGCTATGACTGAAATGTTTTATTGACTGTACTTTTGCTTGTAGACTTTGAGAAATAATTTCATAATTTGCCATGAAGGTCTTTGCTTTGTCGGGTATACTCTATGCAGAGCAGTCATATCCATGATAGTACCAGGGCTAGATATGTTATTTGCAGTTGAGACTTGTTGCTGAGAGCTTAAATCAGCGGAGAGAATTTAGATGGTACCATAAAATAGTTTAAAGCATTTGAAATTTGATTATATTGCCGCAAGATAATCTCAAGCCATGAAGTCTGCCCCCAGCCGATCCAGCATGTTCTCTGTTGCATCATGCATTGCTTCAACCAGGTCCCAATCCATCCCACCCACTCCCCCTTGAGATGGCCTACCATCAAAAAGTCCGTTCCGACTC